CATGACACGATCAACACCCAAAGTCCTATCAATAGCAATAGTTGGACCTCATCTCAAGAAACAATCGAGTCCTATCATCATCCAATTTAGGATGTTCAGTTCAATTACCATCACCGCTTTGTATTTTAATTCAAATTGTATAGAAGTCTAGTTAGAATAAATTGTTACATTGTATAACTATACATGAACTACACAAATGAAAGTAGGTGAAATTATTGCTCGCAATATCGTGTTTCTATCTATATTCTTTAGCTGGATTAAAATATTCAGTATTTATATAATATAATTTTTAAAAAGTCAGTGTTTTAAAAGATCAAAGTGCACTAATTTGAGAAGAAAGGAAATAAAATAAAGTAAATCTATTATTTGTTTATACCATTTACATACATAAAAAAAAATTCTTTTCGATCCTTATTGGTTCAATATTTTTTTAATAAAATGCAATAGAATTATGTAACACGTAATGCATGTGTATTATATTGTTAAAGTATTTTTTTAATTTGAAATTAAAGACATTTTACTTTCTCCACCAATCCGTGTATGACTCATAACCATTTCATTTTTTAATTGACAGATAATAAAATTGTCGGTAGGAAGGAATAAAATGAAAGTCAATCCACGCACCTCAAATACGTATTTCACTATACATTTTTTTTATAAACACTACGGTACGTGATTGAATAAAATTTTAATTTCTTTTTTACTATTTAATTCCGTATAATATACCATATAATTGAAATATGCACTTTAGAGGAAAATAAAATTTGAAAATTAAATGTGTACAATTTATGCACACACGCCAACCTTTTATATGGCTTTCTTTATTTATTCTTAATTGACAAATGGGAAAATAGTTGACATAAGAATAATAAGCTCCTATGGGTAGAAATTTTTTATAATTCATTTTTCAAAGTTTTTCTTTAATCGAGCATTTTTTTCTATAAAATAACTTTGCACGAAAACCTATAATTTTTTTCCTAATTTTTAATCAAATTTTACAAAACTTATTTTCAAAAAAAATCTACATCAAACATACTCTAATTTAATTTAGAATTGAAGGTCTTCATATCACCATTCAGCCTGCCATATAATTCTATAACAATATTATTCATTAGCACGGTTAAAAATAAATTTAAATAAATATGTATACTTTTGCCAAGACGGTTTAATTTTCTAAATGACATAGTACATTAACATCGGACGAAACACTTAAGTTCAAGTCTCGTGACACCAAATTATAAAGGAATTAAATTACGTGTACATGGATGTTTATATTTTCTTTGACATTCTTTTATGTATTAAAATCTGGACAGTGATGTGGTAGAGTGTTGTAGAAATCCATTGTTTTGATGAATGTCATGCGGAAAAATATCAAATTTGAAAAACTAGCCTTTATTGTTGACTTTTATTGGACGAGTGAGACCAATAACGGCTCTATTTTCAATTTTAATATTTACCAAACAAACACTTAATATAAAAGAGAATGTACGTGTAGCACGATTGTTTATAAAAACTATGTATAGATTAGACATTAAAGCAAAAAAAAAAAAAAAATGAATATGATATATTCATGAAGTTTTGTGAATACAAGATTTAATTGAATAAATATTTTTGTTTTAAGAAATTAAATATGTAAATTGATAATTAATATTATTTTATGTTTTCCTAATACTGGTTATAGTTAGTTTAAAAAATAAACTCCCTTTTGGTTAGAATAATGAACGTGCGTTGAAATTAGGGGTGTCCAAAAGTCCCGAACCGAACCGAATCCGAACCGAATCCGAACCGAACCGAGCGATTCTTCATAAATTAAATACCTGAACGGGTACCCGAATCAAGAACCGATGGGTTTTGGTCGGGTCTCGGGTCTAGATCAAGAACCGAAGAACCGAAACTAAATAATTTTTTTATTTTTTATATTGAATTAATTAAATTATTTTATTTTTTTCTAAACAAATTAGTAAATTAATTAAGTAAATCAGATTATTTCATAATTTTAATTTTAAAACCCAAATCATTTTTAAAACCAATTAGCCCATTTTAATTTGAAGCAAATGAATATACTTTATGTAGTGTTGCTGTAATATTAATATCTACTTTTTGGTATTTGTATACATTGAATTAATCTTATTGGGCGGCTAGTTATTTATATATTTTTGAATTGGGCTACGTTAATTTGTAAAATTTGCGAATGAAATGTCATTAGTTGTATTTATGTAGTATTGCTGTAAATATTAAAAAATTTAATTATGGTACGGAACCGAACCGACCCGACCCGAACCGAACGGAACCGAACCCGAACGGTTCCATAATTATATTTGGACCTGACGGGTCCATTTATTAAATAGCCGAAAATTTTGGGTCGGTTCAGGTCTCTTCAGAATCGAATCGAACCGACCCACGGACAGCCCTAGTTGAAATAGCTTTATTTATCTTTGTTATTAATTAATTAATTAATTAATATATACGATTCAATTATAGAGTAATTTTTAATTAAAATATTATTATTTATTGTATAATTCATCATTGGTCGTGCAATACGAATTTGGCGTGGTAGTATAAAAAATTAGTTCTTCTGGGACAGTCTTCATTCCAACAATTATTGACAACAAATCATTGGATTTTGTCCAATTCAACAAGTAAAAGATGTAATTAACAATTCACATAATTTTTAAAATTGCTTTTTTTTTTTCTAATTAAAAACTTATTTGCGTTTACTTTGTTGTTTTTAGTTTTCAATGTTACAAAACATTCAGAACTTATTTGATTTAGTATTTTCGAAAATAATATTAAATCTATAATATAAAACTCAAAATTTATGTTTGACGCTTTGAGCGTATTCAGTAAAAACTCTGAAAATACTCAAATAAGAATTCAAATAATATTTTATTCATATAAAATTCTAAAACATAAGATTCAAGAAAATTAAATAGAAAAAATTCTAAAAATTTAAAATTCGATAAATTCTAAAAAATAAAAAAATTGAATTTTTGGAAAAGTAAAATAACATAATATAAAATTAAAATTCTAGAAAAACTTTAGAAAAATAAAAATAGTTCAATCTCTTAAATAGTTATTTGCATAAAAAATTTCAGTCCACATCATTAGTTTTTTTTCTTTGTTTTACCTACTCAATTTATTATTATTATTTTTTTGTTTTACTTTTGCAGCGGGAAAAAATATTATAGAATTTATCAACTTTAAAATGTATATATTACTTGATAATATATTAACATAAAATTATTATATTTTACTCAATAATCAAGTTTTAAGGAATGAAATATCATAAAACATTTTTTGAAAATTTCAAACCAAACACATTTTTCTAATTTTCAGTTTTTATAAATAAATTTTCAAAATGATCAAATATATTTTTAGCAATTTTAAAACAGACCCTAAAAAAAATATTGAAAATGAACTTAAAACTCAAAATCGAAACACAAACTAAATGGACCCTTACATTTTTAGCGTGCAAGTCTAGAAAACTAACATTTAGATACAACAAAACGTAAAAGGGTTAATTCCCGAACATAAGTAATTGATCAAACTTCTACGGTAATGACTAACCTGATCATTGCATTAAACCAATCCAAGCACCTCATTTCTTATTGGAATTCTAGTTTCCATCCGAAAAAGGTCAACCTTAAAGTTCGTTTGATTACAAATGTGGAATTTGGGTGGAAAGAAAATTAATTACAGGGCCTAAAATTTGTTTTACTGGCAATTGTAATTAATTGTATTTGATTGATATAATTTTCCACTTGAAAAATATTGAAAGTTTTGGTGTCCGTTTGTCTTCATTTTGTCATAGAAATTATCCATTAAAATGATAATTTTTTTTTTACCATTAGGTCTAGAATCGTTCCAATTGCCAAAAAAAAAAAATTTAAAAATTTTAAAAAAAAATTATCATACCGAATATCATTCGTTTGACTTTATTTTGTATGGAAATTATCAATAAAAGTGATAATTTTTTTACCATTGTATCTAGAATTTTTTCCAATAAAAAAAATGATTGGTGGAAATTGGTTTTCCACAAAACCAAAGAAAAGGTGACCGTGTGAGCCAAACCAAGAAAATGAATTTCATGGAAAAAAAATGTATCAAATAAGGTAAAAGTCGAAGTTGGAATTTGTTTTTTATTTTCCATGGAAAATTTGGGTAAATCAAACATGCCCTATAGCTCATTCACCTTATAAACTCAAGATCGTATTCATGTGCGGCCAATTTTGAGTTTTTGTTTGCATATATTTGACAACCCTACTCAAATGAACGTCTGGATCATCGTAGTCACAAATGATCATAATGGCACCTCTGAAAAAGATGACCACTTTATCCTATGTCACTTTCTATCAATGTTGACATCCCTCCATTGCGTGAAACCCCACATTACCATGGAGGGCTTCACCACTCTTAAGAATTCACCACCACCATGAAATTTCGTGTCATCGTGATTGATTAGAAACGTTAACATGTTAGCCTTAGTAACCTAGTTCACTTATAAATCGAATATTATCTCCATGCCTGGCCATGTTGAAATCTTGTATAGTTGCACATTTTCAACACTTTTAGTTATAGTATTAGTCAAAGTTATCCTTAGATGTGTTAACTTCAACTATTCAAATTATCCCTTCTAATCGTTTTTAACTTATTAAAAATTCTCAATGCTATTTGCATTTTCAAATTTATGCATAATATTAGCCGTCCTATAGGGATATATTATCGAAAAAGGTCCTATGAGAATGGATTCTTGACGTCAACTCTTCCCAATGATTTCTAAATATTCCTTGAAGGGGACAGCTACCATCAAATCCACAGGTCAAATGAACATTGGCAATATTAAAACCTTAAAAGGTACATTTTTTATTTATTGAACAAAAATCATTTTCAATGAGCCCTCCTTTAAATTCATGCATACAATACAAGGGTTTGCTATCCTTTCATCAAGCTTCTATTCTTCATTCCTTTCTACTCCCGAGAGAAAATTGTGTTTGAGATTAATGGGGCATAATAAGGCTTTAGATAAGGGAAAAAAGAAGCAGAAAAAGGGTTTATGGTCTCCAGATGAAGACCAGAGGCTTAGAAACTATGTACTCGAGCATGGTCATGGTTGCTGGACCAACGTTTCCATCAATGCTGGTGAGTATATTCCAAATGGTATATGAGCAAGTCGTGAGTCCAAGTTTCACGCCATTTATTTCTTGAGTCAGTGTCTTGTTTGATTTGATTTGATTTTGCACATAACGGATTGTTAAGATATAAATGTCGCAAGTCAATGTCTTGTTTGATTAATTTAGATTGTTTCACTAATTCTAGGATCATCGAGATATCAGTTTTGTTAACTATGGGTAAAGTAGTTGGCAAAGACCATTCCATGAAGTGAACTTTAAAGAATGAACAACGTCATAAGATTGATTATGTTCATTACTTTGATTAGTCATTGGTCCAATAGTCATGGCAAATAAAGTATGTACATTGTACCCAAAAAAAAAATATTTTCTTCACGTTCTAGGAATAAATATTTTGGAACTGGTAGAATAACTTCTAGAAGTCATTGACAGAATTTTCTGTTAAAACACATGCTATGAGGAGACTATACACTTGACGTGGGGCAAGATAAGACTCCACACTTACTGATGTGGTTGGAGAATCTTGTCAATAGATAAAATTTCACATCAAATAAAAATAAAAAGATAGATCAATTTATAAGAGTTTGAGTTTTTGCCCTTAATAATGTTGACATTTTAAGATGGAACCCCAAATCTTAACATGGTCATAGAGCCCGTTAATCTCCAACGAGCAATTCGATCCGATTAAGAATAAAAAAAAATTGAGCACACGAATTTTAAGATTGATTTGCTCAAACGAGCCACCATCTTGCGGGGCATGATAATGGATAAAATTCCACATCGAATAAAGATAAAAACTTATATCAATTTATAAGAGTTTGAGTTATTTCTCTTGATAAGGTTGACATTTTAAGATAGAACCCCAAATCTTAACAAACCATACTTACAATTCTCTCCAAATGAGCAAGATAAAATTTCCCACTATGTGTAGGAGAATATTTCTTATATATATATATATATATGTATGTATATAGACTGGAGCAACTTTGGCTAGCAATTAGCATAAAAATGAAAAAAATATTTGTTTTCATTTCATTTGATTTGTTTCAGGTTTACAGAGGAATGGCAAGAGCTGTCGGTTAAGATGGCTAAACTATTTAAGACCAGGACTAAAACGAGGAATGTTTAGCCGAGAAGAGGAGGAGATTGTCATCAATCTTCATAAAACATTAGGCAACAAGTAAGAAGAAAAATAATTTACTCATTTACTCATAATTGCTAATGCTATGATGACATTAACTGGAAGTGAAGTTCAGTTCAATCAAGTCAAAGACTATAAAAGAACACTGTTTTTGTGCAGGTGGTCTCGGATAGCACATAAACTGCCTGGACGAACAGATAATGAAATTAAAAACTACTGGCATTCTTATCTAAAGAAAAAGGTGGCAAAAATGGGTGAAACTGAAGGCCAAGGTAAAGCTGAATGCATGAATTCAGAAATGGAAAACACGGAATCTTCTTCCCTGAAGTCGAGTTTGGAATCATTTGATCATATTGAAGGACCATTGATGGATTTTTGTGCACAGAAAAGCAATTTACCAAGAATTCTATTTGCCGAGTGGCTCCAATTTGATCAGTTTCTTGGCTGTGATTCAGACAGCCCTCCAGAAGCTTATAACAATGCTTTAGAGAACAATGGCTCAAATTCCCAAGATGTTCTCATGCATAATTTGCTGCTCAATGAAGAGATGTATGCTGGTGAAATGCAGCCAAAATTTAACAGTTCTATCGATGATATGTTTCAAGAACAGTTCAAGTTTGAGCATCAGAAATCAGAAAGTGGATATGCCGAACTTTTTCCTGGTGAATTCAACATAAACTATGATGTAATGTATATATAAATCTCATATTCCTGTTGAATACAACATCAACTGTGAATCCGTTATGTATAATTTAAATAAATAAATGTTCGATATCTAATATATTAAGCTTTTAGACATGATCAACATAGTAATGTACTTAGTTGGAATTCTCGGTGCCACTCATTTATAAAAAGTGTGCACGTCCGTTAAGCAATGCAAATACAGCGGATTCGATCAATGATGGAAATGTGCAGCACCAATCAGAGACGATAATGCATAAAGCCATATTCCTTCTTTGTTTGCAATTGTATGAACCCGCAAATACAAATGTTGAAATGATTTTGAAGCTCGAAACAACTCTCTTACTCGAGCCATGGACGTCCCTCAATAGCTCTCATAGCATCAAACTTGCAAGGTCTCAAGGCAAGCTTTGTGGTTTTCATACACTAATATAAAAAGGCTCATTCTTACATTCTTTAATTTTCCTTATATTTTAGATATACAATAAAGTATAAAAAGAAAAATTGGTTATTTTCAATTACTAATTATAACCCTATACATGCAAAGATACACAACCTCACACAATTTAGCCTACATACAAAAGTAACATAACATAACATTTCTAATTCACGTCCAGAATACACAAGATGAATTCCCTAAAACCAACCCACATAGAATAAACAAAGAAAACGGAAATCCCAGCCCGAAAAGCAACTGCAGATGACAAGAGATAGCATTATATAGCTGAGTAACTAAAATCATCTTCTTGAGGGCCCTGAGAAAGGATTGTGAAGATAACAAATGTCCCATATAATATTGTAACAATGGCCGTGAAGTTCACAAGGAAGGCCTCTGAGCCATATTTTGCAAGGCCTGAATTCTCAAGAAATGTTAGCTTTTCAAGGTACCCGAGTGTAGCGGTGCCAACAGCTAAAATATACACGAAAATGCCCAAGAGTACGTGCCATGGAAGTGACTCGCTTCTGAATGGTGCTGTACCTCCGGGG